CATTTAATAACGTCTTTTCAGTCAGGTAAAAAAATAAATAACTTTTGGAAGTAAAGACTTCAGATTTGTTAACATTTATTAATAAAACCATCATGGTCTGTCCTGTGCAGAATGACAAAACACTAAATTATTTCTTTACTAAAACCTCTGTAACTTTGCTCCAGTTCATTTTAGCAGTATGAATCTTTGTACAGGTGATGTCCACAAGTAGATTTATGGTTTCCAAGAGTTTTTAGCCTGATTCATTATGGTTTTAAATGGGTTACATACTGTCTAATGAAAAAATTATTCAGGTGAGAGAGGAAAAAAATAAAATAAAAAAATTATGTTCCATCCCCAATATCTCTAAAACCACAGCAGCTGTTTTAATACTTATTGATGAAATCTCCCAAGTGTTGCTTTATTTTGATAATAAGATTATTTTGTAAATGCTGAGATATTCAGTTATATTTCAGCATGGGATTTTGAGCAAAAACTTCAAGAAAACCACTTGGGGCTGAAGAGGATGAACTAAATTCAGCTTTTCTGAACTCCCGGAGACTCGCATACAAAACAAAATACATTTACCAGCTAAAAAGTGGATTCTGAATATGTCCTCTTTAAACAAAGGCCTGAACTCACTTGCTGGCAAAGAAGGCCACCCAGGGGAAGCGCAGGTCGTGTGTGTCCACAAACACGTTCTGAACGAAGAGGTTAGGACTGCAGCTGTGCTGTAATACAAACAGAAGCAACGATTGAGAAGAGAAAAAAAGGCTAATAAAACCTTTTTTATTGAAAGTATCACACGACAGATTTAACGTCTTACGTTCAGGTATCGCCCGAGATTTCCCTCCAACTTGGCGTCGATGATGTAGCAGGATTCCTCGCCGTCGAAGAACAGACGAGTGTTTTTCAGAGCGTTTTCTCCGCCTCCTCCCTGCTGCCCCTGCTGTCCGTGTTTCCCGCCCTGACCGCTTGGCCCCGCCCCTCCGCCAGGTGTTCCTGTCTTCACCATCATGCTGTGGCTGTTCTTCAGGGCGATGCCTCGGGTGGATTTCACCGCCGTCTGCTTTTTGGTCACACTGGGGCCAGCTTTACAAGAAAAAACAAAACAAAACAAATCAAAAAACAGTAAAAAATGTAAATTAGGACTGCAGCTAACGATTATTGTATTGATTAATCTATCGATTATTTTTGACGATTAATCGGATATAAAAAAATTGTCATGTTCTGCAGTAATAACTTAAGCTTATTTTATGAGACATACAATTATTTAATATTGTGAAGGGATAATCTACACTTGCTGATGACCCTGCTGCAATCAAAGTAAAATTACACCAGTTGTATTAATTCATGCTTTTTAAGATCCAGTTGTTTGTATTTATATATGTGAGGTTTGAGGAGGCATTAATTAAAAAAAAAAACTCTAATTGAATCATTTTTAATCATCACTGAAAAATCGTAATACTGTAAATTTATTGTTATGGACTGGAAAAC